GCGCTGGCTCAAGTCACTTACGCGGCAGCTGAACCGCGAGGGAACAGCCGAGATGAAGCTCCAAAGGGTTTTCTTGCATGTCGGCCTCCAATCGATTGTGCCAAGATTGTGCCAAATCATAGAGCAAGCTAGTACTGCATGTGCCTCGCTTCGCATGCTGGCTGGATTGTGCCAAATTGTAGTACAAGCTTAGTACTGGATGTACCTCGCTTCGCATGCTGGCTGGATTGTGCCACATCGTAGTACAAGCTTAGTACTGGATGTGCCTCGCTTCGCATGCTGGCTGGATTGTGCCACATCGTAGTACAAGCTTAGTACTGGATGTGCCTCGCTTCGCATGCTGGCTGGATTGTGCCAAATCGTAGTACAAGCTTAGTACTGGATGTTCCTCGCTTCGCATGCTGGCTGGATTGTGCCACATCGTAGTACAAGCTTAGTACTGGATGTGCCTCGCTTCGCATGCTGGCTGGATTGTGCCACATCGTAGTACAAGCTTAGTACTGGATGTGCCTCGCTTCGCATGCTGGCTGGATTGTGCCAAATCGTAGTACAAGCTTAGTACTGGATGTGCCTCGCTTCGCATGCTGGCTGGATTGTGCCAATCGTAGTACAAGCTTAGTACTGGATGTGCCTCGCTTCGCATGCTGGCTGGATTGTGCCAAATCGTAGTACAAGCTTAGTACTGGATGTGCCTCGCTTCGCATGCTGGCTGGATTGTGCCAAATCGTAGTACAAGCTTAGTACTGGATGTGCCTCGTTTCGCATGCTGGCTGGATTGTGCGAAATCGTAGTACAAGCTTAGTACTGGATGTGCCTCGTTTCGCATGCTGGCTGGATTGTGCCAAATCGTAGTACAAGCTTAGTACTGGATGTGCCTCGCTTCGCATGCTGGCTGGATTGTGCCAAATCGTAGTACAAGCTTAATTAGTGCTGGATGTGCCTCGCTTCGCATGCTGGCTGGATTGTGCCAAATCGTAGTACAAGCTTAGTACTGGATGTGCCTCGCTTCGCATGCTGGCTGGATTGTGCCAAATCGTAGTACAAGCTTAGTACTGGATGTGTCTCGTTTCGCATGCTGGCTGGATTGTGCCAAATCGCAGTACAAGCTTAGTACTGGATGTGCTCGCTTCGCATGCTGGCTGGATTGTGCCAAATCGTAGTACAAGCTTAGTACTGGATGTGCCTCGCTTCGCATGCTGGCTGGATTGTGCCAAATCGTAGTACAAGCTTAGTACTGGATGTGCCTCGCTTCGCATGCTGGCTGGATTGTGCCAAATCGTAGTACAAGCTTAGTACTGGATGTGTCTCGTTTCGCATGCTGGCTGGATTGTGCCAAATCGTAGTACAAGCTTAGTACTGGATGTGCCTCGCTTCGCATGCTGGCTGGATTGTGCCAAATCGTAGTACAAGCTTAGTACTGGATGTTCCTCGCTTCGCATGCTGGCTGGATTGTGCCACATCGTAGTACAAGCTTAGTACTGGATGTGCCTCGCTTCGCATGCTGGCTGGATTGTGCCAAATCGTAGTACAAGCTTAGTACTGGATGTGCCTCGCTTCGCATGCTGGCTGGATTGTGCCAAATCGTAGTACAAGCTTAGTACTGGATGTGCCTCGTTTCGCATGCTACTGGATGTTCCTCGCTTCGCATGCTGGCTGGATTGTGCCACATCGTAGTACAAGCTTAGTACTGGATGTGCCTCGCTTCGCATGCTGGCTGGATTGTGCCAAATCGTAGTACAAGCTTAGTACTGGATGTGCCTCGCTTCGCATGCTGGCTGGATTGTGCCACATCGTAGTACAAGCTTAGTATTGGATGTGCCTCGCTTCGCATGCTGGCTGGATTGTGCCAAATGGTAGTACAAGCTTAGTACTGGATGTGCCTCGCTTCGCATGCTGGCTGGATTGTGCCACATCGTAGTACAAGCTTAGTACTGGATGTGCCTCGCTTCGCATGCTGGCTGGATTGTGCCAAATCGTTGTACAAGCTTAGTACTGGATGTGCCTCGCTTCGCATGCTGGCTGGATTGTGCCACATCGTAGTACAAGCTTAGTACTGGATGTGCCTCGCTTCGCATGCTGGCTGGATTGTGCCAAATCGTAGTACAAGCTTAGTACTGGATGTGCCTCGCTGCGCATGCTGGCTGGATTGTGCCACATCGTAGTACAAGCTTAGTACTGGATGTGCCTCGCTTCGCATGCTGGCTGGATTGTGCCACATCGTAGTACAAGCTTAGTACTGGATGTGCCTCGCTTCGCATGCTGGCTGGATTGTGCCAAATCGTAGTACAAGCTTAGTACTGGATGTGCCTCGTTTCGCATGCTGGCTGAATTGTGCCAAATCGTAGTACAAGCTTAGTACTGGATGTGCCTCGTTTCGCATGCTGGCTGAATTGTGCTAAGCTGGCTGGATTGTGCCAAATCGACGCAATTAATTAATTAATTAATTGGGTTGAAAGCTTAGGTAAGCCAGCTGCTGACAGCCATGAACAGCCAGACAGCGGCTCTCCAGGCACACAGCCAGAAACTTCCAATCTTTCAACAAGACAGACAGACATCAGCCAGGTAGTGGCAGACAGGTTGGCCACGCAGACGGATGTCTTGACAGACATCCAGGCAGAACAGATCAAACCACCAAAACCCAACTCGACCCTGGCACCTGCGAAGGAAGAGCTGCACATGGTGGGCAAGGCAGTCATCTGTGCTGAGAGACGCCAGGCGGGGGGAATCACAGCCAAGGGAACGAGCTGGGGATAATCAGCGGGAAAGAAGACCCTGTTGAGCTTGACTCTAGTCCGACTTTGTGCGATGACTTAATTAATTAATTACCACTAATTAATAAACCATGAGCAGGACACCTGGATGGCGTTCTCCGCCGACGTCGGCCGCCACAGTGAGCAGGCTGAGACAGGCAGAGAGAAGAGACAGGTGTGGCTGCAGGCAGCACTTGCCAGAGCCAGACAGGCAGGTCCGCCCTTCAGCTGGGCACTTTTGTGCTGCTGCGCAGACTAATGTCTGCCAGACAGACAGATAGGCATGCCAGGTAGCTAGTTCGCAGACCCCTTAACCTTAAACCCTAGTTTCTAAGACAGACAGGCAGTACAAACCCGCAGTGCACACAGGCAGCCTATCTGCAAGATCTATATAGCGAGGTAGGCTAGGCCAGCCAAGCTCGCAAAGACAGCAGCTGCACACAGGCAGACAGACAGCTGCCCAAAAAGACCGACGACTCAGCCAGCCAGCCTAAACCCTAAACCCCCTAAACCTTCCCCTTAATGATTTTCAGGGTTTAAAGGGCGGTGCTACTTCCGGGTGGATCGGGGGAAAAGTGTTTTTATAATTAGGGGGTCCTTTAATAAAAGGGGGAGGGGATTACCTATACATATGCATATACATATACATATACATATACATATACATGTGCACATATACATATACATATACATATACATATACGCATATACATGTACATGTACATATACATATACATATACATATACATATGCACATATACATATGCACATATACATATGCACATATACATATGCACATATACATATGCACATAAACATATGCACATAAACATATACATATACATATACATATACATTTACATATACATATACATATACATATACACACATATACATATACATATACATATACGTATACGTATACGTATACGTATACTTATACTTATAGGTATACTTATACTTATACTTATACTTATACTTATACTTATACATGCACACTCAAACACATCCATGCAAGTATTTGTTCCATGGTGTTGTTCTTGTTCAATTTTTGGAGTTATGGGTTTCGGGAGTTGCTGATTCAAGGCTTTCAGGGGTGCTTGTCGGTCGTAGTAATGATAGTGCTTAACGGCCTGACAACGTTTTCGGGGTGTTTCAGAGGGCGTGGCTTGAGGGTTGTAGAGGCTTTCTGGGTTTGGCTCGGCTTTTGAGGATTGAAAGCTTTGCTTTTCCTGGTTTAGGGATAGGGGTTCAGGGGCCTTTCTTGATGCTTGTGTTGCCCTTCATGGCCTTCTTGTGGCTGCTTGTTTCGATGTTGAATGCGATTTTGTGTTTTTCTGGTAGAATTTGGGGTTTATGACGGCCAACTAGTTGGCAATAAGAGTTTAGAAACTAGGATTCCAGACATAAGGATGAAGGCTTCGTCGGGTTCAGCGAAAAGGGCGTAGGGCTTAGGTATGACTGTGCCGGGGTTGCCGGACTTAAGCCCACTCTGGCAAAAGACTTAGATAATTTTTGGTGTGCTACAGTTCCAGGGTTTATCAAGTCGTATGAAGTAACTGTAAGAAAGGTATCATAGGGGTCGGAGCAATTCACAAAAGCATCCAATCGTAGTCGTAAATTTCGGGTAAATTCTGATCGCTAAGGCACCTATATTTTTGGGTTTAGACGATTCCTGAAACCTCTGTCTTGCAGTTGCACATCTGCTTCGCCTTCTCCGCAGGCATTTGCACGCTTCAGATGTCATTAAACCAATAAGAAACCCTATACGCAACCGCTATAGATCTTGCATAAAGCCACCTTCTTATAAGATTTGCTAGCCCTCCTCTTATTGAAACCATAGGAGCTCGGAAACCTCGATTCCTCAGACTCCAGCTCCGAAACCGACAACCTTCAATCCTTCGATATTTGGCCCTGAGAGTTTAAGGTTTACAGGGCTTATGGGGTTTAGGGTGTAAGGCTTAGGGTTTAAGGTTTAGGATTTAGGGTTCAGATTTTTAACATTAGGGAACTCTGAGTGGCTTCCCAGGATTTAAAGCCCAGGACTAGGCGCCCTGGCCCCAAGGATCTTACTATAGGGGCCTTTATAATTAGCTATACTATTCTGGGGGTTCCTTATGATAGTTATAGTATAATGGCCCCCGAAATCCTATTCTAATTTTTCAGGCCCCTATAGTATCTAAAATGCGAGCTTTGCGTTCCATGTCTTAGGTACGGTTTCTCACTTCAGAAGCCACTGTTAGATGTCGA